AATAAATTCTAACAATTTAAATCATATATAATTATTTCCATAATATTCGTAAATTTATAAGGAATATAGTTATGTATTCTTACCATATCCAAAAAATGACTCGAAATATGTTCAACATCCAATCGCAACAAAGCGCCTTCCATTTTTTACCTGCAATTAAAAAAATTAATTAAATTAGTTTATAATAAATACAAAATAAATAACAAAATAATAAAAAAATTTACAAAAACCTAAATAATTATATAAATAATTATACCTTGTTTATATATATAGAATAGATTGAAAGAGATAGAATTTAGGTGTATTTTTGAGTTAGGGAAGGGGGTTTATATAATGAGTAGGTTGGGGAGTTTGACGAGAAGGTTCAGGCAGGAAGCTTCAGGAGGGAAAGACAGAAGTCGCCCCTTAGGGGTAGCGTCTATCAGAAAATTAAGGGGAAGGCACGTCCCCGTGCATGCACCTTCTAGGGGATATCCAATGCAAGTTGTTTTGCAGGTAAAGATCATTTCACCGGGTGCACCTTACTATTTTCCCAGTAATGCGTGTTCCATCAAACACGTCTCCTTCTCTCAGATGTTAGATCAAGAAAATTTTTGGACTTAATGATTGATCGATAATATTTTATTTCAAAGGTGATTGTTTTTGTCAAAAAGCCTAGGTTCAAACCTCTTGAACCATAAATTATTTTATTTTCCCTCTTTTATCATTCAAGTGTCAAGGAAAATGGGTGAACCCGGGTCTAAGGCCCTGATTTAGCTGGAACTTTAAATTTTAACATTTTATTCTCAAAATCTCATAATTTGGTCCCCAATTTTCTTTCAATTGCCTTTCGTATTTTTAATACTTCTCAATTTAACCCTTTAATTAATTTTTGGGGTGTTACAATAATAGACAATGCAAATAACTGAAAACATAACTTTTTAAGAAAAATTAGTGATCAAACTTGAACAAACTGAAATGAAACTGATTATTTCATTAGTTTACCCTTGAACATACCGTTATCATTTACATCTTTGATTAAACACTAATTTATTTCAAAAATAACATTGAAACCCTTTTAAATTAACTGACCAACACTCAACAAATTTCGATCAGTATTAAGTACAAATACCACATCTTTGATAAATGTTTTGTTTTACCTTAAATGCTTCCAATAACAACTGCCTTTTCAATCAATTACAATGTACTCTTCATTGTCAATCTTTATTTGAAAAATCATTAAAATATATAATTATTCGAAAAGATTATGACAAAAGGTCAAATAATTGGTACAATCTCTCTATCAATGAGTCATTTATTATTTGAATGATAGATTGCAAAGCATGTGACGATAAAGAGTTCATCTTCTTCTTTGTTATCAATTTGAGCATCATTCTTTTCTTGAAAATTTGCTTACAATCTTTAGTTGAATATTGCTTTTACAAATTCTTTGATGATGTTTATCTATTGACATTTTTCATATTGTTTGTATGCAGTTCTCTAACACTTGAAAGATAGATGACCCTTTGTTCAAATTCTTTATTTGTTGGAATTCAGATTCTCTAATCAGGTTGAGTTTTCTTTCATTTAATCCTTTCATCTGCTTCGTATTCTCGCTTTAAAAAAATTAAATTTCAAAGGTTGGTATTATTTTCATGTTAGAAAGATTTCAGATGAGATTACTATGAATAATGTAGCTCTTGTTTTTTATTTTTTTAGTTTATTCTCCTTATAATTCTTTATTTGCGTCATAGTCGAATTGGTAGGTCATGGAGGAATTTTTGTGTTCCTCATCTACAACTTTCTAGAGATATTTTCCTCAAGATAAGTTCTCATCCTTTTTGTCTATGCATAAAAATCTTCACCATTGAAGGTCGACCGATCTAGAAATTAAGAAACGGCATCTAAAATTTTAATATTCTATTTTAAAAAAATTAATACGTAATTTTTTTCATTAATAAACTAAACAAAATTTAATATGTTTTTAAAATGATGGATGTGTAATAATTTCTCTAAGGAATCATATACATCCGCCCTGTTGAGGACTAGCTGTGTGGAAATATATTTACGAAATAAAGTATAGAGAAAATCAATATAAAGGAAAAAATTCTCCCAGTCATGGGTCCCTCAAAAAGATGGGTTGGATAACAATTTTTTTTATATAATTATTAATATTTAATTTACTAATCAATTAATTCTGTTGAAGTAGATCTTTATTGTAACTTAAACTTACATGGAGCGACATCTGATGACTTTAGGAGTAAGGTTTTGTCTCAAACAGGTTTTGGAACTACAAACTCAAATAATGCAGATATGTTATGGAAAATTATGGAAAATTTCATCAGAGAGGTGGGCAAAAACACCCTTGGGTTGTCAACAGGGAAGGTCAAGGAACATAAAGAATTGTGGTGGTGGAACGACGAAGTCCAAACTAAGGTGAAGACAAAGCAAACTTGCTTCAAGGAGTTGCTGTAATGCAATGACGACGAAGAAAGATCGAGAGCTAAACAAAGATACAAGGAGGCAAAGCGGGAAGCCAATAAATTAGTGGCTAAAGCAAAGGATAAGGCATACGAGGAAATGTACAAGAGACTAGACACCAAGGAAGGACAAAACGACATCTTCAGGCTTGCAAAATCCAGGGAGAATAGGAAAAAGGATCTAGGTAGCATTCGGTTTATTAAGGACAACAATGGTGTTCTTTTAGTGAAAGATCATGATATTAAGAGGGTTTGGGTTGTTACTTCTTTGGCTTATTTAATAACGGTGCCTCTCCCTGTAGAGATAGTATCGTTGATGGGTCAGCCGACCATCATACTACGACTAATGACTGTCCTACAAGTAGGATTGGGATTGAGAAAGTAAAAATGGCCCTCAGAAAGATGGGGAGGGACAAAGCTGTCGGCCCAAATCAAATTCCTATCACTGTGTGGTTGACTCTAGGGGAAGAGGGAGTTAAGTGGTTGATCAACATCTTTAATACTATTTTAGAGACTGCCAAGATTCTAGAGGAGTGGAGAGAGTCTACGGTGATACCAATCTATAAGAATAAAGGAGATCCCCAACGTTGTGGTAACTACAGAGGTATTAAACTACTCAGTCATACCATGAAGCTATGGGAAAGGGTGATAGAGGCAAGGTTGAGACAGGTTACTAGGGTTTCGGAAAACCAATTTGGCTTTATGCCAGGCAGGTCTAGTACGGAGGCGATTTATCTACTTCGACGGCTTATGGAGAAATATAGGGAAAAAATAAAGATCTTTACATGGCGTTCATTAACCTTGAGAAGGCGTATGATAGCGTACCCCGCGATACGATCTGGAAGACCTTGGAAACGAGACGGATCCCAACTGCTTATATACGGGCGATTTGTGATATGTACTGTAGATCTACTACTTAAGTCAGGACTTCAGTTGGCGACACCTAGGCATTCCTGGTGGAAATCGGACTCCACCAGGGGTCGGCTCTTAGCCCTTACATCTTCGTCTTGATTATGGACGACATCTATTGTGCGACACCAGATGGTATTCCATGGTGTATGTTTTTCGCTGACGACATTGTCCTAGTTGCTGAAACAAAAAATGAGTTGAATAGTAGACTGGCTACCTGGAAGATTGTTTTGGAAGGGAAAGGTCTAAGGATCAATATTGAAAAGTCTGACAATTTATGTTTAAACTTCAGTGGGAACCTAAACGATGAAGATGTAGAAGTATGCATCGAAGAACACGTTCTCCCCTCAAATGTTTGTTTCAAGTACCTAGGGTCTATGATACATAAAGATGGGGGTGTTGATGATGATGTTACACACCGTATAAAGGCGTGATGGCTAAAGTGGAGGGCTGCTATTGGAGTTTTGTGTGACAAGAAGGTGCCTCTAAAACTTAAGGGAAAATTTTATAGAATGGCAATTAGACCAGCGCTGCTGTATGGATCAGAATGTTGGGCAATCAAGAAGGATCATGTAAGGAGGATGGAGGCCACAGAAATGAGAATGCTTCGATGGGCATGTGGTAGGACTCTGTGGGACATGACTTTAAACTCTGCAATTAGGATGTCCTTGGGGGTGGTGCCTGTATCTGAAAAGTTGAGGGAGGGAAGACTACGATGGTTTGGGCATGTCCTTAGGCGACGACCGTCGGATGCATTCGGGAGGGTAGAGTCGATTACAGTCGACGGTGCCAGAAGGAGAGGTCGACCAAGGAGGAAGTGGGCAGACTGCTTGAGATCTGATTTAAAGGATTTTGCCCTTACCGAAGACATGACCTCTGACAGGAAAATATGGAGATTTAAGACCAGGGTAGCTGAGTAGTGTGGGTCACAGCAATAGGGTGTAGCATCTATGTCTTCTTTTTAATGCCTTCGTAGTAATTTTCATGACTTCTACTTTTTATTCGTTTCTTTCATTGGAATTTATGAAGGCTTAGAACTAGGGTAGCGGAGTAGTGTTGCATTAGTTTAGGTTTTAACCCATTTGACTTTATTCCTTCCCGTAACTTGCTATCGCTGACTATTGTGTATCATTCTCTTCATGTTTCCTCTTTTTAAATTTAGCCCGGACTTACGTTTCTGTCTATATGCATATATTTTTACGCAGGGATTTATTTGCAGGGATTACTTCCCATTACAGACGCGCATATGTAGACTGCATATGAAGACTGTTCAACTATGTATTTATTTATTTATTTATACATGCATTGTATTTTATCTTTATTTTTTTAATTTTTTGACTGCCGGAGGTCTTCTACAGAAGCTGCTCTCAACTTGACGTTGGGGCAGCCTACTACCCTACCTCCCCCTTATCCCATTGCATATGGGAATAGGGTTTTGTTGTTGTTATTGAAAGAAACAATGATAAAAGGTAGGGAAAATATAGAAAATGAGATGGAAATAATTATTAGTGAAGTCTATATTCTATTGAGCTTAAGTGCTGTTTAAATACATGAAAAAGTGACAAGCTCGTCCTAGAATCGAACAACTAACATATTTTATGACCGACAAACTCAAAATCAACAACAGTAAAGAAAGACTTAAAAAAGTACATAAGATTGTTTTGACTAAATCTTGCAGTGCCAGTAATTGAAACACAAGGACAAAATATACAAAATCCCTCCTTCCTACTTCACCCTCACCCTCCAAAGATTATAAACCATAATAAAAAATCAAAAAGAAGAGAGTTCAAATCAAAGCCAACAAAATATAAAGGTAAAAATCTACATTTGGACAGATGACACCGGAGGTTTTGTTCTTGCATCACGTGTTTCTCTTTCCTGATTAGCTGGTGGCGATGGGATACAATCAGTTCCTAAGTTGGAGGAGTTGGGGGAATCATCGGATTCCGGTGGCGAATTAGTGATATGTACGATTTCCTCCTTGGAAATTGTAGAAGCCGACGAGAGAGGGCTGAGCTTTGTCACCTCAGACGGTGAGGTTGGGGACTCACAAAGCATGGTTGAAGAAGGGAAGTTAATGGGACATCCCACTTCTGTAACCTGTTTAGCCCCCTCATCTAAGTACAATACATCCTGCATGCTTAGTTGGTGATACTCAACTATTTCCCTTAGAAATCGGTTCTCCCTTGCATATAGTGAGTTCTCGTGCGCTAAACGTCCCTTTTCTGCCAACAGGCTCTCCAGTTGCACCCGAATCTGACACGATCACGTTTAAAATTTACTTATTGCTATTATTTCTTCATGCCAAAGAAAAGGTATAGGATTATGTACCAAATCATCATCTGCAGGATTATCCCCTTTGTCCCCGCACTCCCGAAGGAATTTATTCTCCTCTTCTAGTTGAGCACACCGTTCCTTTGCGAAGGCCATATCCGCTTTAACAGATTTCAGCTCCCGGAGAAGCAGTTTTGCTTTAGCAGCTGTGGCCATTGCAACCTGTCAAGCCAAATCAATACATGAACAGCTTAATTCCCACATATGTAATCCACTTGAGTTTCTACCATATTGCAAACTTCTTGTATGGAATCTACTATTATGCAACTTACATCTAACCATGCTATGGAAATTATAAGAACAACCTAAAAGGTATTAAAATCAATGCTTTCAGTATATGCTTTCGGTGAGACACACAAGTGTGGCACCATACTTCGCGAGATGCCTTGAGCTGGTTATCATTGTTGGTTTGAGTGTCGAGCAGTGTCGGGGTCTGAGACGTGCTATTGAGACCAGCAACCTGGTTTTCTGCCATGGGACTGCTACTTTTCCGCCTGATTTTAAGATTGCGAGTTTCTTGGATAATATCTTGGGTTTTATTTCCTACTATCGTTCGACCTTCCTGTAAAAGTAGCACTCAGTTTGTTCACTAGTTCACAGTAGGTGAAAAGCAATGAAAGACACTCACGAGATAAGAGAACAATAGCCCAAAAGCACTCAAGTTAAGATGCTCTCACCTCAAAAGCCTTTTCAAATGTGTCACAAATGTGATTAAGGGAAGTGTTGAGCTTATCCAGTCCCCTTCGAATTCTAGGATTGTCGATTCTTCTAAGGCCCTCATTTGGTTGTTGGTTCTGCTATTGACAATGAAAAGACCAACAACATAAATACATATCTGTACAACATAATTAACGTTTAAGATCCATAATGTTCCTCTCATGATAGGTAGTCGGTCACCTGGCCGTGGGAAGTTGTTGAGGCATCCAACATATTCGATGATCCCACACCGCCGAGTTTGTCCGTTTTGTCAGGATCATCTTCCTCGAGAATGGCTTTGGCTTTCCGAGCAAGAACACCCCACAATCCTTTGGAAGCATTTCTTGGATTTTCTACGGCATTGAACCCCTACAAGTAGGCATCTCAATACAGAATCAGACAACACCAAAACGAAAACAGGGTTTAATTATATAGGAGCATAAAAATTGATTAAATGAGCATGTGGTGACAATTCTGATCAAAACTCCAAGAATATATAATACAAAACAGACCTTATTTTTTGATAAAAAAATATGGTAAAATGAAGAGAAATCAGACCCAAAAAATATAGAGGAAAAACCTTAGATGTAGCAGAGAAAGAATACGAGGAGTTTAATGTTCTGGCTTTGAAGTCGTCATTGTCGTCACCCGCTATAGGTGAACGGTTGATCTCCTCCTTGAACGTCGCCGATCTGCTTATTCCATGCTTTCTCCTATATGCCATTTCAATTCTTCTTCTCCTCTTTCTCTCTTGTTTATTTTGGCAGTACCAACCAATTGGATTGCCAATTTTTTTTTCTTTTTTTGAACCAACAAGATCAATAAATATTTGTTTATTTATCTAAAACATAGAAATAAAAATGAACCAAAAACAAGTTCTTGCCATTAGCTTTTGCTTTTTTCTGTATCAATAAAGTTGTTATAATTTAAGTTGGGATGATAGGCCGAGTGAGCTGGCGTGTTACTTGTGTTTTAAGTCACCCCCACCTTCTCATTTTGGTTTGCCTTTTATTTTCAGAATTTATCTTTTTAGTTGTAATATATCTGTCGCACACTTTTCATTTTTCAGCCTTCCATTATTTTCAGTTTTTGCTTCATTTTCATATGGGTTTGTAAACCCTAAATACTACTATTTAACTGTGTTTACTTTATTATAGCATTTATAATTATTTATTAATATATTTTTATCCATGAGTAAACCATTTTTAATGTTATATGTATTTTTATGTAGTAACTTGAACAATATAACTCATGGAGCACATTACGTCTTATAAAAATATTATAAGAAGATACAATTATGAAATTTCTACACGTAAAAGTCGTGATTCCTAAACAATTTATGGTCATCATATTATTGAGAGTGGGCATTAAGAATGTTCTAAAGCAACGTATTTTCAAGATCGATACATAGAATTAAAAGTGAGAAAAATTTGATTCGATTAAAAAAATTAAACTTTTTAACTTGATTTTATTCGATTTTTTTTAAATTCAAATCTAGTTATAAAATATAAGGGAATAATTTAAACTTTTTAGTAATTAGTGGATTGATTTTCAAGTTTGAGTCGAGTCTCTCGAATATGTATGATATATGTACATCACATATGAGAAAATATGAATAAATATATATGTATTGTATATGATTATAATAAACCGTTTAAATTGAAATCAAATTATATCATTATATTATAAAAAATTAATTAACTCGATAACTCAAAAATAATTATTTAATTCAACTTAGACCCTATAAAATGCATGCAATTGATCGAATAAGTTGAAGCATGTAATTCTTAAGGATAATATGTGGGTGCGTGTCATGAGAGTAAGTGCACTGAACATGACCCGTTTTCAGAAATTATATTTGGTATTTCATTCAAGTATTTAGGGAAATACTCTCATGTGTTGAAAATATTCCTAATCATCTGGAAAAACTAGATTAAATAAATTAAAAAAAATTAGAACTTCATGTATCGATGTCACAGATTGAGTATCGATACTATACAACATTAAACCTAAATTCAATATCGATATCAAGAATTGATATCGGTACTTAATTTCAGTATCAGTGCTAATTTTATATTCTATGTTTGCAAATTAAACTATAGTATCAATATTGCATATACAATGCGATAATAGATGCTCTATTTGATAAATTTCACCTAGCAAGCGTATTCAAACATCACCCAAATTTACTCTAACGCATATGCAGCTTAGAACACTCTTAGAAACAATGCAAAATTAGTAGTAGGAACTATTGAGCTTGTAAAGTTCACGTTTCAAATGTTTAAGTTTGCATATTAGTACACCATGATTGTTTCTGGAACACCGTCGCTGTAGGATTTTTAGTATCAGTATCATTTTCTTAAACATATAATATTAAAATTAGAGAAAATTACATGGTTATTTTAGTGGACATGTATATTCATACAACCCTTGTGTATTTAGTTTGTAACTTTAATGTTATTTTAAACTTATTTTGATTTACACTATGCATATCATAGCTTTGGTTTTTGTAATAATGTTTCATGGTCCTTATAGAAATCAATATTTTGGTATTAGTTATCACTTTATATGTGTTTTATTATTGAAAAAAGAAAAATTGTAAAATAGTGGTTGCTTCATTTCAAAATTAACGGATCAGATTTAGGAGGTTATAAAACCATTTTCGCGTATAGTTGCATTTACTGATTTTGCACTTTCAAGTGTTTTCATGTTCTTAATAGCTTTCATCACTTCCAATTTTTTTATGTTCATAAAAATAATGCTTTAATAGTACATTCATCAATCACAAATCATACCATTGTAAATCTCGTTAATCTCAGTTAAACATAACTAGTGAAAAGAACCATTGTACAAATCATACCAATATAAGCTCCCAATCAACATGCATTTTCGTGCTTACAGAGCAACGAATCTGAAGCACTCACTGATTCACTTCCTTGAGCTTTATCAATCAATCAAGCTATAATAGCCTTCCGTTTATCCTTTCTAATCAATGCTCTTAACAATATCGGATTTTGGCATACACATTGAAAATGATAAAATAAGGTTACTAGCACATCTAAAATCATCAAATCAATCATTAACTCATTTCAATAAAACTGAAATTTTCTCTAGACTTAGAGAAACTTGATCTAATAATCAAACCATAATATAACGCCAAATGGTGATATAAATTATTTGTAATAATAATGTTGAGTGATCTAATCCTATAGCATCATCAAAATTAACAAATCACAATCATTTTAAAAAAATATATATGTTTAAAGGTAGATTGAGGAAATCGTCAATTTCATTCCTATGAGTTTACATTTACTGAAGTTAAGAAACATGTTAATAACTTCAAAATTAATAAAAAAATAATAATAATTTAGAAGCTTCGGTTTAGCATGAATTGAAAAATTCACCACCAAAGCTTCAAAAACTTAGAAAACTCAATAATTGTTAAAATCTTTTATATAAAGGATTAGATTTTATTTTTAACTGGAAAATACTTAAAATATTAATTAAAAAAAATTTAAACATTTTCTGATGAAGGGAAGTGAGATAAATCAAGAATTATTAAAAACATTCAAGAAAAAATTACAAAGAATATGAAGAGATTTTGGAATATTTTCTAGTAACTTGATGAAAGAAAATGTGTATGGTGAGGTGTTTATAAAATTGGTTATAGGGATTTGAGATAAAATTAAAGTTTGTTTTGATTGATTAATCGAGATAATTAATAGTGTCAGAGCAAGTCTATATTAATGGTTGAATAATTTGAGAATGTCCTAAAAGATTTCTATTAATTTTTACATCAGATATCATGATAAATAATTTCTACATTTGGTTCTTATTACATTGAAGACATTCAATCAACCAATAGGTTTTCATGCTTAAATGATGCTCATTATGCTTATTAGAAGAACCGAATGAAGTTATTCATTCAAGTAAGTGATTTTAAAATTTGGGAGATCATCATAAAGGAATATACAAGTCCAACAAAGGAGATAGAATAATGGATGGAAGAAGATTCTAATTAAATACTAAGGTCATGTACATTTTATTTTGTACACTTGATCTTGATTAATATGAAAGTTTTTTTTAATCAACTAGGATGGTCTTTTCTTAAATTTAAGTTTTCTATGTTTAAGGTAAAAGGTATCGATCTCTTTCGTGGGAACTTTAAAATAATTGTCTATTCCCTTAGAAAATCAATCCCTAGGCGGACAATAGTAAAAAGAAATTAAAAAAAATAAACCATTTTATGAAATAGATCGATGTTTATGCGATAAATATTTTATTTTTATTTTATAAGTAACGACTCTTTTGCATCTCCAACTGATTCTAACGGTCAGTAACCATAGAGAATATAATAAAAAAGTGTAAAACATCTTAGCAATAAAAAGCACTGTTGAGAAGATATACCCACATCAAAGAGTTCTTTAGTGTTACTTATCTTATTCTTGATGTAAGAATACTTATGAGCTATCATTGTTTAATTTCCTCAAGTGTTCACTTACACTTAGTTGTGAGCTTATATTTGCATACATTTACTTAATCATTGTGAGGATTAATTTCAGTTTTCTTTATTCATGTTTTATTTGTGTTATTACGGCTTTAGGATATAAATCTTAAATAATTGTTTTAAGGTAACATCTTATTCTAAGAGTTAAACAAATATAATGAATCTGAGATAATTTTTGGTATGAATAACTAAGACTGTAGATGTAGTTTTGATTTAAAAATAAACCACTCTTAATTATTGTGTAAATATTTTTATATTTTCATTGCTTCCAAAAAAAATTAAAGATCTAATTCACCCCCTCATCATGACATTCTTCAGTTGATCAAGCAAGCTAACACAAGAGAAGTCCACAAGAACATGTTGAACACTTCATGGAAACTTGTTCTTCAAGATCAAGTAATGACTACCTGGAATTGTAGTCAAATAAAAGATTCAGACAAACATTTTTCCAAATTTATTTTCAAGATGACTTTGAAGTGAGCTCGTCCATCCGAGAATATGCCTCAATGACCCTTGGACCAATCTTTTCCCTATTCGGTTGGATAAAATAAAAATGAGATTAAATATATTCTTTATGTCTCGATGATCCTTGGAATGAACCTTGTCAACCACCTAAGATAATGTCTAAAAGACTCTTAAACAAAACTCTTATAAATTTGATTTTATGAGCACAAATAGGATGAAACATGTTTTTCAAGATCAAGTCTTGATGACCCTTGAATTACAATCAATTCAAAATTTCAAGCAAGCATATCTCCGAACCAAATTTCAAGATAAAGTCTAGATCTTTAAAGTGGATCGCTCCATCAACGATTAGGTCTAAATGACCCTTAGATAAAAGCTAAATCGAAAGAAAAAATAATTAAAAGGCTTATTCAGATATTGTAACTCATATTTCATAAATAAAAAATCTTCAGTTTGTTCCTATTTTCCAGGTCACATATTTTGGACACAAAATTTGTGTTTACACAAGTATACTAAAATTTACCTATAAAAGTAAGATAAAAACTTTTAGAAAATTCAACAAATGCGTGGAGTAAGTGGTAAGGTCAAGTCTTTAAACCATTCGTTTATAATCTTAATTCAGAAGATTTCAGGTGAAACTGTGGAAGACTATAGGCCTATTAGTTAGTGGGGTGCATCTACAAGGTTTTGCCCAAAGTATTGTCTAGAAGGTTGGCCTGCTACATAAATGAAGTTGTGGAAGAGAGTCAATTTGCCTTTATCTTCGGAAAACAGATGGCCGATTGCTCTCTAATTATAAACGAAGTCATAAGGGGTGGACCCACATGGTCATATAGGTAGCAAATGC